ATTTTTCCCCAATTGTTTAGTACTATGCCCCATGAACCCTTAGATTCGAGATGATGCCATGGTGCCCTTTCTACTCCTCGTCATTCTTTCCCACTAAAAATGGACACAACTCACCCCCCCCCCAAAGACCATCCCCGTAATATCTAATGATACTATGTTGGCGGGGGTTCATTATGCGGGGGTTTATTCCTAGGTGCCCATACACTGCGGCCTGTATAGCTCCCTTCTTAAAACTGTCCTAAATCCTTAAACCATAAACCATTAAACCCTAAACCCATTCTAAACCCTTTAACCAGAACTTAAGCCCTAGACCTTTTCACCGACTCAGGAAAGATTTCGACCAGGCGTGAGCCACAGCGAAATTCAAGAGGAGCCGCCTTCCTACGGCTTGCGGTTTAGGGGTTTTGAGTTTAGGGGTTAGGTTTTTAGCGGTTTAGGGTTTAGGGGCCTAGGGTTTAGGAGTTTAGGGTTTAGGGTTTAGGGTGTAGAGTTTGAGGTTTAAGGTTTAGGGTAGTTTCATAGGTTCCCCTACTACCCTACTTGGAGGGTTAGGGGGCCGTAGTAAGTATAGGTATAACCCCCATAAGCCACATAATATACCCACATATCCCATTGATTAACCTACTTGCTTAGTCCCTGACCCTCCAAGTAACCCCCCGCTACACTACCTACTTACTGAGGCTAGTAGGGAATAAGGAGATAAGCCTTTTTAGGGATTAGATTCCCTTATTCCTTACAAACCACCAGTAAGCCTGGGGGGTAGGCGGTGGTGGTAATAGCAGGCGTCGTAGTAGTAGTAGTAGTAGTAGTAGTAGTAGTAGTAGTATCAGTACTAGTACTAGTAGTACTAGTAGTAGTACTAGTAGTAGTAGTAGTCGTATTATTATTAGTAGTAGTTCTAGTAGTAGGAGGAGTAGGAGTAGGAGGAGCAGTAGAAGTAAGAGTAGGGGGGGAACCCATGATGGTCAGAGCTTTGTAGAGGCAAGTGTGAGTCTCCGTGGAGTTTGCTTTGCCATATGTTTGTTTTTTCATGTGAGTAGTATTTCTTGGGGGATACTATTGGGTACAAATATAGAGGAAGATTATATCCCCCTTTTGGGGTATAGTATCTTATATAAGGAATATAATCTTACTGGGTTTAACCACCAAAAAAACTATTCATGTGTTGTCATTGATTTGGGTCGAGGGGGGCTGCCACTGGGAGCTTGTGGAAAATTAGGGATGAAACGTAGGTAAATGCGTGCGGTTCCTGTTTGGCCCTTTTGCCGAACCTGTGAATCTCTGCAACAAAATCCTGAAGGCTTACCTGGATCCTCAAACCTGAAACACTAAACCCTTAAGATTGCCAGAGACTTTCTGGGTTCCCTCTTGGTCTTTTACCCCACTACTGGTAAGCTGTAGAAAAAGGTCCAGGTAGGCATGCAGGCCTTAACCCTTGAATCCTTAAACTCCAAGCCCTCAGCCCCAAGCCTTAAATCCTAGTAGGGTTTAGGGGTTGGGGTTTAGGGTGTATACTATAAGGTTGAAGGTTTGGGCTTGAAGGTTTGAGGCCCCAAAACAAGGTTGCTGACTGTTGAACTCTACATTTGCATCCGCATGAAAGTAGTGCTATATGCAGCGGTCAGAAATCCACGGGATGAACGTAGGGGGGGTTCATGCAAGTCAAGTGTTTCAGCCAACCTTAAGCTCCAAGCTGTTAAGTGTCCATCCCAAGCCATCAACCATACACCGTAAGCCAGAAATCCTAAGATTCCTAAATCACAGGGCTCGAAACGTAAGGTAAGAAGGCGAGATAAAGGAAGGTGGGGTATACGGAACACACCAACATGGTGGAGTCTACCATAGGGATCCTTTAGCCCACCTATCCCCATCTTATCCTTTGAGCCCCATGGAACGCTGAAACTTAATAAGCCCTAAACCATAAACCCTAAATTATAGCTTCAATTTTCTTTTCTATTATCCCAATAAAACCCCTATATAGTAGTTTCCATGCTCGTTTCCATTATTTCGATATAAGCCATAATATAGTAGTTTCCATTTTCTTTTCCATTATCCCTATATGATGCGTGGTTTTTTT